GTATATTCACTCAGGACACTGACGCTGCTGCATTCCTTCTTCCAGAACGTGAACGTCCAACGTACGGCTGAAGACGCCTTGCAGACCGTCCCTCCTCATCTCTGATACCTCTGCTGGCTGGAACCCGGCGATGCTGAAAGCTGGACCTTTCCCCTTCCTCCTTTTTCTTCCTTTTTTTCCACCTTTCCAAATGTGCACAACCTCCTCACACTGGTGACCAGCAGGTTAATGTGTCTCCTTCTTCCTCCTCCACCAGCGCCATACACACGCACACATTTCTCTGTTACCCCTTGTTTAAGCATATTTTTTTGAGGAACTTGCGAGTGTCCGGGCCTCAGTGTTCAGCGGGCCCTCGGCATCGCTGTTCCAAATTATTTATGAATCAAAGTATTGTCTTGCACAGCAGGGAGTTAAACGCTTGGCTCACACAGCAGATTCCTGTCTGCCTGTTACTGTACTCCGTGTGGTTTCATTGTGTTGATTTTGCGCAGCAGTAGCACTAACACTGAAAGTTACTGTTTTGTGTCTTGAAGTATTAACCCTGTGATTTTTTTTTTCCGCTCCATGTTTTTGATATGCAACTGTAACGTGCAATCATCATCGGATGTGAAGCTGTATTCAGTGATAATGTGCAATTTGTAGGCTGCAAACCTACTCGGACAACAGCTTACTATTTTTAAAGTGCTGATTCAGTAATAGATTAAAGGACTGGGTCGTTCATTTTTAATGGTAAACAAGTAGCCATTTCATTTTGTAGGGCTGGCTGGTGTAATATGTGGTGTACTGTATCTGCTTGTACAGTGTCAGCTGAAACTGATGTTTTATGTAAATGATGATTCCACACACGGGCCTTCAGTGAAATACACTCACATGCTTTCACTCATTTCTGTGGAGAACACATCAGAGCATTAATTAAACATGCAAAACAGAAAAAAAGAACACAATATTAGCTTGAAGTTGGTGTTGTGGGTTAAGATTTTAAAAAAATGTACATCCCAACTACACAATAATAAAGATGTTATTTTTTTAAGCCAACCACTCCAATCTGTCTTCTCACTTGAGATTTTTGTGGCTGCATACCTTGTGATGGGTTTCTTTATGAGGGTTTTGTGCAGTACTGTTCGTGTTGTGGTTATTTCTTGATAATGGGATTATTTGTGGGCGGCGCGGTGGTTAGCACTGTTGCCTCACAGCAAGAAGGTCCTAAGGTTGACTCCATCATCTGGAAGGGGCCTTTCTGTGTGGCCAACATGCTGTGCAGTGTGTGCTTAAAAATTTTAAGGAAGCTGATTTTCAACTGGACTGAAAATCAGTGGCAACAGGTCTCCAGGAGTGAGGGAGCCAAATCAAAAACGTCAAATCGTCAATATGTACGGAGGTGTTTAGGAGAGAGGTCCAACAGTGAGTGCCTACAACCATCTGTAAAACACTGTGGAGGGGCTGTCATGGTGTAGGGTTGCATTTCAGCCAGTGGTTTTAGAGATCTTGTTAAAATTGATGGGATTTTAAACAGATTAATCAGATTTTGATCAACCAGGAAATACCATCTGAAGATAATCTGATTATCAACATTGAGCAGTGTGGGATCATCTTTGATGTCCTTCAAGAAGCCTGCAGAACTATTTCTGAAGACTCATTAAAGAAATGACAAGAGAGCTTACCTGAAAGACATCAGGCTGTGATTAAGAATAACGGTGATCAAATCAAATGTTGACTTTCAAGCTGTTCTGCCTTTAAAAAAGTATTTCTATGTGCGTTTATACCTTCCAATCAATTGCTGCATTTCCTACTTTCTTAGCAAAATATAAATATGGGGTGATTTAACACTTATGCACAGTACTGTACAGTCAAATGCATGAACCATGGTATCACAATGGAAACTTAGGAAGTTGCAAAGCAAAGTTCCTCTTCAAGCCAGGACAGAAACACAAATCTCTTCCTCCCTGCGTGTGACGGCAGTATCAGCCTCCACGAGTCACAACTTTTGTGAAGCATGTGTGCGTGTAGTAAGTACAGCTGCTCAAATTAAAGTGGATTTTTGTTTTTTTTTTAGAAATACTTAAGGTTATTGTGAAAATGGCGCTTTCTTCACAGCACACTCAAGTCTTGATTTGGATCGAACGATTCGGATTAAGTTGTGAATGTGAACAAACACCGTCAGACGCAGCGACTCACACCCTGCCTGCACTTCCCCTTCCTGGTGGCTGAAACGGCGCACAGCAGTTACGCACGCATAAGGCAAAATGTGGTTAAAGAGCAGGCTCAGAACAACTTCCTCTGAAACAGAGCAAATCCATTTATAGGAACAGCAACAGTGCAGCAAAAACGTCAGCTTTCAAACACAAACAGGTATAAACAACTGAGTTTTATTATTATATTTCCGTATCTTCTTGCATGACTGATGGCAGTTTCTTTACAGTGAGCTCTTTCTACGTTTGACTTAACACTTCCACAAACAAGTATGTCCTGAACAGAGAAAATTTGGAGACAAATTTAAAACGACAGCGACAGAACACAAAAAAAATACAAAATTCTTCTGAGTTTTATTTGGAACAGCACAGCCTCAGTGCTCCTGTACTCATGGTTATCAACTTGATTAATACTTTAAGGACCCGCCTTTGTTTGGGGATTTGTTCTAAGTGGCTGAAAATGAAACTGTAAATATTTCATTATGTACAGTCATTGATATTCATGAGTACAGGAAGACACTCGGGTGTAAAGGGTAAATAAAGGGCATCAAAGCCAGATTGGTCACGTTCCTCTCCTCTCGGGTCGGCTGCTTACTCCTTTAACTCTCCACTCTTGTGCTGAGTGGCAGTTGGAACATTCCCAGGGTGGCACGGGGGAAACACTAACACTTCCATCAGAACTGTAAAGACAAGAGAATCAAATTAACACGAGGCAATATTAAAAGCGGAGCCGCTGCAGGAAGCGAACAAGTTACTTACATTCTTGAGGAATTCTTCGGCAACGATACGGGCCCTGGCATTAACCGAAAGTTTCATCTCACTGATCTCCTTGTCGATCTCCTCCATGAAGTGGATGACAAAGTCCACCAACTTGTGTTTGTACATCTGCTCCGTGTGGAAGTTGGTAATCAAGAAGCTAATATCATATCCCTAAAATAAGAGCAGAAAAAATAAAAGACACCATTTGTGTTACTGCATTAAAGCTACCGTAGTGTAAATACTGAGATATTTAATGTTGTTTCCTTCTTTTGCTTGCTCCCTTTAGGGGTCAACACAGCGGATCATCTGCCTCCAACCCCCCCATCCCTAACATCCTCCCCTGCTGCACCAACCCTCTTCTGGATCTTCTTTATTGAGGTGTTTACTGTCTGTATGATGTTTCTAAAACATGCATGCATGAAGACCTTTATGACTCATTTAGCTCCCACACTTCCTCGTTTTGTACGTGGTATTCTTCCTCTGATACTGTTAATAAGTACTGATTTCTCTTTTGTCACTCGCTGTCTCTTACCTCTACTGGCTTCCTCCGCAGAATGAAGAAGTTCTCTGCTCTCATCATCATGAAGCGCATAAACTTGTGGCAAAGGATCTTCTCGATCTCATCGGCCTGCAGTCAATCATAGTAGTTTTTAAAGAGCGTTAGAATATTCTGGAAAGTCATAACCACAATAAAAGTTAAAGCCATTCTAGCTCTACTGACCTGCTTGACAGCAATACTGACTCTGACAGAGTTGATGGATCCCTCGATGAGAACCTTCTCCTTGTCATTACGGCTGATCACCACAGGCTGAAGCAGCAGCTCCTTACTGCTCCTGTAACAACAGCAAAAACAGTCCTTCTAAACACAGTAAAACTCAACAGACCCCGCAACACTGAACGGGGAGGACACCTGCGAACAAGCTGAGGCAAGTCCCTTCAGTCCAACTTTAAAGCCTTGCCCTTTCTTGTAGCCATTTTTCTTCCCTCCTTGATTTTCTTATGCAAGTTTGCACATGACTGAACTCGTCTGCCAGCAGCTGATCATAATACACACATCTTTAGGGCAGGAGAAACATGAGGAAGCATAGGGTGGGAAGCAGCAGGGGACAAACCAGTGAGACTCAATTGAGTGCTGCTAAACATACCTGACCTCCACCTCTGGCTTGTTGTGGCGCTCCACCACCTGAGAGGAGAAGTTCTCCAGACATAGGGCTGCCTGCAAGGTGGCCCTCACAGCGTTTAAGTAGGGGCGCAGAGTCGCTGTCTGAAGAGAAAAGTAATAAAAAGTCAATACCTGGGAGGATTCGGCCACATGCAATGAGATCCTTCCAGTTGAATAAAGGTAAATCGCCCAGCAGGGACTTGTGTTTAAGGCTACGCATGACAATAATCCGTGTGCAAGTCTCACTTGACAGCTATCTGTTATCACAGGCAGAATGAACAAGTATCTACTAATGCTACGTAGCTACGTGTAGATCTATCTGCGATATGAATGCAGAAGAGGATGTGATGCCTTCAGGTGATCGACACTGCAGCTCATCCAAATTATTTACTGTATTTATGCCAGCTATATACGTCGCTTTTCCACGGTTTAAGGACAAACTGTGGTGAAGCTACAGGTCACAGAAACGAGCAGAAAAGGAAACGAGAGGAAAAGACAGCTCAGTCAATCTGTTTCTGCAAACCGTATCAAGGATGCCCGTAATCTCATTTTGCTGCAGCCAACCAGAAACCACGGCTACAAGGAACACACAGCTAGCTAGCTAATCTTAAGTTAAATATGGCAGTAGTTACTTGGGGTAATTGGCTAAATAATTAAATATAAAGCTGAGTGTTGTGCTGGAGACTTACCATTTTTGAGCTGTAAAAGACGGAAGTTCCTCAGCCACGCCTGGGACGACTCTTCCGTAAATCCTACATAGTCGAGAAAATCTATGGTGTGTTCGTTTTGATGCAAGGGTTAGTCTAATGAATCGTTTTTACCCACCCAGCGTAAATGTCACGGTTCGCGTTTATTTCTCCGCCCAGGTGGAGTGTATTTTTCGTAAAACGAGCACACCCTAGGGTGTTCCCATCCTGCACTATGAAGAGGGGACAACGGCTGTTGTCTCACGAGTTTTTATTTTTACCTTATATGGTTTTCATAGTTAGATGTCAATTATCAAGATTAACGTACACAAACTATACTGTCTAACTTCCAAATTAAAAGCTTGGCAGCAAATATTTTTAATACGCCTAGATTTGGTATCATCCGATGATACCATTGTGATAGACTACTCAACAGGCTCTATGAAGCGCCAAGTCTCCAGACTCTGTATTCTCAGACTTGCCACTTTTTAAATTGCTTTTACGACTTAAAATGCCTGGTTAGGTTTTGTAAAAATTTAACTATCTTATTTTTTCTCCTCAGAATCGTCATTATATATAAAATGGGACATCATTTTAGGTGAATAATTTTCACGCACACCCCCCTCTTACCACAATGGTTTCACCCATCATGGACGCCATTCAGTGAAGGTAACTATCGCTGCTCTAAAATATTATACACATTATAATTTGTGCGCTATATTTGTGTGGTGTGGGTTTAAAACGCCCATATTTAAAGCGTCTGTGCGCAAATCGTGAATATAAAAGAAACCCTTGTTAGAATTTAAACGTATTCTCCAGCATTTCGGGCCCAGCGAGCCTGCGCTCTTTAAAGCAGTCCCGACTGTACGTGCGGCCGTACGTAAGTGTTTCTGAATTTGTGTGTGAGAGCTACAGCACAGAGCTGGACTCACATTGTATGTCAGTCTGATAATCTAATGAGTACTTTGTCTTATGCCAGTAAAATCACTGTCAGGTCTTTGCTGCAATACATCATGAGTGAGCTGAAGGACTGCCCCCCACTGAAATACTACGACTTTAAGCCCGTGGAGCATGTCAAGGTATGCCCCCGCTACACTGCTGTGCTGGGCCGCTCAGAGGATGATGGCATCGGCATCGAAGAGCTGGATACCCTGCAGCTGGAGCTGGAGACACTGTTGTCGTCAGCTACCCGCCGCCTCCGAGCACTGGAAGAGCAGAGACAGGTAGGAACAAGCTGGTGATCGCTCTTCTTTCATGTAACTTTTCTTTTAACCATAAGGCTTTCATCTCTAAGCATCTAGATGCAGCCTTGTATATTAAAGGCTACCATAATTTTTTCCTCTCTATTTATCTCAGATCCTTACAGACTGGCAAGATAAGAAGGGAGATAAACGCTTTCTGAAGCTGGGAAAAGACCCAGACCCCGCTGCCTCATCTCGCCACAAACCAAAGAAGCAGAAATTGGACGGTAAAGGGGGTCATGGGCCAGGCCAAGGTCCCGGCAGACCCAAAACCAAAAACCTGCAGCCAAAAGTACAAGAGTATGAATTTACAGATGACCCTCAAGACATTCCCCGCAACCCTAAAAATGATGCTCCCAACAGGTCCGCAACAACTTACAAAATATATCTGCTTAGTTTATTTTCTCTTTGATGTTTCTTTTTTTTCCCTTCTAATTTTCAAGTTATTCTCAGATGTGTGTTTTAGCAAGAAAAGAACTTTATTCTGATATTACCTTGTAATATTTCTGTTTTTAAGATTCTGGGCCTCAGTGGAGCCATACTGTGCAGATATTACAAATGAAGAAGTACGATTGTTGGAGGAGCTTCTTAAACCACCAGAGGATGAAGCAGACTACTTCAAGGTATGACATAGAGCCATGCACGCAATGTTATGTTACAAATAACTGTATGCAATGCAGTGAATAAGAGTGTTTTGAGGTTTGGGGCTGATCTGTGTTAATGGTAGATTCCAGCATTGGGAAAACACTACTCTCAGCGGTGGGCTCAGGAGGATCTGCTGGAGGAGCAGAGGGAAGGAGCACGAGCCAACGACAAAAAGAAAAGCATCATGGGAGGGCCGCTTTCTGAATTGGACGCAAAAGGTGAGGGGAAGGCTCACTTGTGCCTACACATGACTGTGCATGAACTAGTAACTCCACCTTAACACTAACATTTATCTTCACTTGCTGTAGATGTGGACTCGCTGCTGAAAAAGTCAGAATCCCAACACGAATCTCCAGAAGACGGTTGTCCCTTTGGTCCTCTCACACAGCGTCTGCTGCAGGCCCTTGTAGAGGTCAGACTCATCATTTTGTGACCAGCTTTTGTCCTGATAACGCTTATAACAATGCATCATTGCGTTGTAAAAAATACAAATAATAATATACATATAAATACATGAGCATGGTTTCTTCCAGGAGAACATTATATCCCCCATGGAGGATTCCCCTATACCGGACATTTCAGGAAAGGATGCTAACGATGGTGCTGGGACTTCACCCCGAAGCCAAGGAAAAGCTTTTAGGTATAATGTCAGCATCAAATACATTTTTGATGTATTACATGAGAGGACCTCCTGAAATAGCAGCCATTTTTAAACACATCTCCTCATCCACACAGACCTCGGTATCCTCAGCATGAAACAAAAGAAAAAACGCATTCAATCTTTTTTAGGATGTTTTGGCAGGTCAGCAGCTAACTCTTCAAAGTACCTCAAATTGCTGTCTACTTTCATGCAGCTGTGCCTGCACACACAAACGTGGATGTTAATTCCTCTCCATTAAATTTAAAGGGAAAAATTGGTTCTAGATTTAAGGTGGTAACATTGGTTGTTTTAGTGGTGTTTTTCCGCTCTGCATCTGCATATTTCTTATGATCTTTGCCATCTTTAGCGTTCCTCATACGCGCTCCCTGGAGGCTCGAATCAAAGAGGAGCTGGTAGCCCAGGGGTTGCTGGACTCCGAGGAGCGACCTGGCCAGGGAGGAGACTCTGAGGATGAGGTCCTTGCAGAGCTGCTGAAGAGACAAGCAGAACTCAAAGCCCTGACCGCTCACAACCGAGCCAGAAAGCAGGAGCTGCTACGGTGAGGACAGAGAGCAGCAGTGGTTCTGTTTGCCACCTAAGTGAAACTGTACATGTGTTAGAGATCTTTGATCACATGAAACTCTGGATTTGCTGTTTTTTCACAGGTTGGCAAAAGAGGAGATGCGCAAACAGGAGTTAAGGCAGAGAGTCAGGGTGTCTGACAATGAGGTGATGGAGGCGTTCCGGCGAATCATGGCAGCCAGGCAGAAGAAACGTACCCCAACTAAGAAGGAGAAAGATCAGGCCTGGAAAGCACTGAAGGAGAGGGAAAGCATTCTCAAATTACTGGATGGATAGAGGAAACCACAGTTTCTGTGGTGAAAAAAATATTGGAAGAAACCTCTTCAACCTAACACACAGCTCGAACAGCTGTCAGTTGCATCAAAGGCCTCTTTCAGGCTTCTCTCTCCGTTGACCTGCCGGCATCTGGACACGCCGGCTTCATGATAGAACACAGACCATGCTGACTTTTGGGAATTGGAAATGGTCAAAATGGCTTTATTCTTACTGTAAATAGAAATGAATATAACTTGTTATTGCATGGTATTTTCTAGTGGGTTGGGCTGAGCAACTCGCAAATATGCACTGTGCACATGCAGTCATGTTAACTCTGCAGCAAACAGTCTCACTTGTGTCGCTCAGCCTGATCTAGTGGCATTACTGTTGCAATGCAGGCTCCTCACTGATGTATGAAGCCACATGTTCAGATTCCAGCAGTTAAATGGAAGGTATGTGAAAGAGGCCAGTGATGTAACATACCGTTTATTACAGCTCTGCATGATTTAGGTAGGAACGTTTCTGTAGTTGTTTTTGTTCCATGTGATGTACAGCAGAGCAATCATCGGATCAGTAACATTCAGCATGCATCACTGACTTTTATACTGTTGTTTGAAACATTTTTCTTTTGTTGGTTCATTTTTATTTTTTTTTACGTTTTTTAAAATTTCATCTGCCATTGTAATGCTGTGAAAAGAATACATCAGTACAATTTAAGAACAGGTTTTGTATATGTTAAAAAAAACAGACAAGATGCTGCAGTGTGTGCAGCAACATCTCTTCCCTTCAGTGCTAACAGTGGGTCCACCAGGAGCAAAAAAAAAGACATAGACCATTGCTACTTATTAAAACAATAAAACTGTTACATCTGTTGATATTTGTGCTTTTGCTTTCTTTATGTTCTTAGTCAGTTTATTTATTAGCAAAATGTTTAAAAAATGCTGACCACATAATTAACAATACATTAGAATAAAATTAAATAAAAACACAAACGTGAGAGAAACAATGTGATCAACATGTCAAATGGGCTGCACACCAAGAAGAAGAGGGGAGCCCGATGCTGTAATCTAGCAACGTGAGCTTCTGATTACAGAAAACTGTTCCCAGCAGCATAACACGGTGCATTACGATTAAAGAGGCGGTAACGTCCATCATCTCTGTATCTCAAAGATATATTCACTGCATGATATTCAGTTTTCAGTTGCTGATGCTGAAATCCAGCGGGTGGAAAAGGTTTACCTGATCACATACTTAAGTACCTTTAATACGGTGAAGAACCATTCTATGTAGGTCTCTAAGGAATGCTTAAAACTGTCTTCATTTAAAAGGAAAACAAGATATTTTCTCCATGAGGCTTTTGGGCTGTAGAATAAAATACAGTCACATTGTTCCAGCAATAGCAGTAGTAATTAAGTCTCTTCCAGTCTCAACTCTTAGACTGGAAGTTATTCTGTTTGTCACCAGTTTTTTTGCTGGTTAGGAGGATGTTCTTAAAATCTTTTTAAACTGCTGTACATAAAAGCTACATGTCTTCATTAATAAGCCACATTGCACATTGCATATCCAGATTTCCTGCAGGGTAGGTGGAAGTAACAGGATCCAGAGGCACCACTAGATGGCAGTCTGTGCCTTTTGCTATACAGAGTAGCCCATGGTTGATATAATTGCAATACTGTGTGTGTCTCTTTGTTGGTGATTGTATATGTCCATCTTTCACTTTATGATCCTCACCGATCTGGATTTGGGGATAAAGTAAGAGACTGTTGCTCAGTGTGCAGCTGTGGGTCACACAGTTCATCCTACAGAGAAACAGTCACCCAAAGAAATGTCACCAGTAAGAAACAGTTTCCTTAAGAAACTGTCACATGGTCACAGCAAAAACCACCAAACTGCTGTTCACCCAGACGGATTCAGAAAGTATCTTTTGAAAAGACCGCAGCCATGCTCATGTTTCTTTGTCATTCTCAGCAGTTTCAAACAGCTTTTCTGTGATTCTTTCTCCTGATGTGTGTGATAAGAAAAGACTCGTCCATGTGACTTTCAAACTCAGGACGCTTTATTAGAAATGTGTACAAAGTCCTATCATTGCTGTCTCTAATTTTTTTGTGGTAGTTTCATTTTAATGAAGAGAGGCAAAATATTAAATAAGTATTTGATCCCCTACAACACAGCCAAAATCCAGGTTCCCACAGATTGCCTGTGTGACCACATAACACAAGATTACAATCAGTCAGTCAATTATAGATTCTCCTGATCTCAACTTCGTACCTATATAAAGCACGCCTGCGCACAGAATCAGTTTCAGAATCAGACCTAAGATTTGTCAAAGGACATCAGGGACAAGATTGACCATCAGCTTAATGAGAAGATGACAACTGCTGGTGCAATTATTCAGAAATGGAACAAATACAAAATGACCATCAATCTGGAGCTTCATGCAAGATTTTGCCTGATGATACGAAGAGGATCATGAGAAAGGCGGTGAAGCAGCACAGAACAACATGGGAGGAGCAGTGACCAAAAACACCACTATAACACACATAATAGAACTTGCAGACGCTGCAATTTAGCAGCGTCTGCAAGTTCCACCTGCTCATGAAGAAACATGTACAGGCTCGTCTGAAGTTTACCAGTGAAAATGCTGTGGTCATTTTAAAACCAAACTCAAGCTCTTTGGCATCAACTTAATCCGTCGTGTTTGGAAGAAGAGAAATGCTGTGTATGACCCAAAGAACACTATCCCAACAGTCACCATGGAGGTGGAAGCATTATGATATGGGAGCTGTTTTTCTGCTAAGGGTGCAGGACGACTTCACAGCACTGAGTGGCCAAAAGACCGGGCCATATACCATAAAATCTTGGACTAGAACCTCCTTCCCTCACCCAGAACACTAAATATGGGTCATGGCTTGGTCTTCCAGCATTAAAGTGACCCAAAACATACTGCCAAGGCAACAAAGACGTGGCAAAAGAAGAAGCACATTAAAGTCATTGAGTGGTTTAGCTAGTCTCCAGACCCCAACTCTATAGAAAGTCTGTGGAGGAAGCTGAAGGTTTGGGTTTCCAAGCAGTAATAAAAAAATCCCTAAAGGATTTAGAAAGTTTCTGTAAAGAGGAGGGAGCAAAAATCCCTCCTGAGATGTGTACAAACCTGATGAACAACTACAAAAAATGTCTTACCGCTGTGGTTGCCAGCAAGAGTTTCTCCACCAAGTATTAAGTCATGTTTTTGGGATCAAGTACTTATTTCACTCAATGACATCCAAATCAACTTGAAACTTTAATGTAGCTTTTAGGTAATGTGTTTTTTCTGGATTATATTCTGTCTCCCTTCATTAAGATGAAACTACTAAAAAAAATAGACAGTGTTGGTTAATTTAAAGCTACCTCTTTTAATCTGTGAGGCCTGTACAATCTTATGACACAGAGCTATTTCCTGATAAAACTGCTATAACTTGGTCAGTCGGTCAAGTCACGATCAAGGCAGTGAAACTCTCTCTGTTGAAAATCTGTTACAAAGCATGTGAAAACCCCACAGATAAAATCTCCTCTTCTCTCAACATGTTTAGGTTGACGTCAGATCCCCAAGCATTGCTGACATGACAGATTTCAGGCTTTGAACTACATGTAGTCAGGTCGCTTGTTTGTATTTTAAATAGCCTTGAGCTCCACAGTGCAGGTTCGTCAGGAACAAAGCAGCTTACATCTTGCGACACCTTAAAACTCGTCTGAATCATTACGAATTTAACAGCAGCCTGTCAGGGGGGGGGGGGGGGGGGGGGCAATAATGCCCTGTTTATTACATTGTGTGAGTGTTTTGCTCGTGTGTTTCCGTGTTTGTGTGTAACGGCAAGACCGTTAATGGAAACTTACTGAATCTACATTAATACAACCCAGAAGATAAAATCAGGAACTGGCATGTTGTTTAAAAAAACACCTCATGCTCAGAAAGCTGGAGTTTCTAACAATGGTGCAAACAGTCATTATTTTAAAAACCCCTCAGTTTAGGCGAGTGTCCTCTATGCAGATCCATAATGCCATCAGCCCTTGTGTATGAAAGCTTTTTTTTTTTTTTTTTTTTTTTTTTTTCTAATGTATGTGTATGAAAGCTTTTAATAACATGCAAACCTATTGAGTCCTCCTCACAGGTGAATGAGAGGCTGAATAGATTGCTGTGGTGGCCCCTCGAGGCCGGGCGTATCACACAGGTCTTTTGTTGCATTTGTTGTCATTAGACCTAAACTGAAGGGCAGGTGGGTTTTGTGTTAATACACTGCTCATACATGCTCAATGATGCTCGTCCTCTGTTTGCTCATCACATATTGAGCCTCTTTTTTAAAAAAAAGAAAGAAAGAAAGAAAGAAAAGAGGAAAAAAGGGCTAGTTAGACTCCTTTTGACAACCCAGGTGGTGCGTGTGTCCCCGATGCTCACCGGATCAGCGAGGCTCCATCTCCAGTCCCCTCTCCCCGTGTGAAATTCAGCTACGTGGTGAGCTTCTTCACTCCTCTCTGCCATGGCCCGTAAAGTTTTACGGCTGTTTGAAGAAGAGGACCCGCCACTGGAGGGTGTGGGTAAATAAGTTTGGCACGAGATATGCATCTGCTGCACATCAACAGACAGACTATAATAAATATATTTCTGTTATGTGAGCAGACATTGTGCGGGGCGACGTGTGTTCACATGTGCACACACGCACAGTTATCCCATGCTACTATCACCCCAGATCAGAGGAGGGCGTTCTCTCCATTGCCTCTTTGTTTTGCCACTGTGTACCAACCATATTTCTTTCTCTGTGGCTCTCCTACTCCACCTCCGTGCCTGCGTTCCTTAGCTGGAACTGAGCATGCATAAAAGGCTGACACACACACACACACACACACAAACACAAGCACGCACAAGCACAAGGAGAGATACATAGAGCTGGAGGGTTTCAACATAAATCTGTTGATTCTTTGTCCTAATGCTATGTAAGCTTTCATGCTGAATTGAAATTGTGTGTGTGACAGAGATACAGACAGAGGTTGAGACAGCTGCTGAGGCTGGCTGGTCCACTGAGAAGACCCTCTGTCCAGCCAGGCCACGCCTCGGCCCTTCTCCTGCACAGAGAACTATTGTCTCCAGTGCTCCTTCCACTGTTCTGATGTCATGGTTTGTCCTTCCCCAGAGGGTTGCTGCTGCTGCTGCTGGTGCTGTTGTGGTAAAACTGGAAAGGCTTTTTAACACAAGGCCAGAAGCAAAAGCGACTGGATGGTGCACACTGCAAATAGTTCTGCATACCAGTACACAAAACTCTCATATGCTCTCATCTTTTTGGCCACTCCTTTAACCCGCCCTGATTTGAATCTCATTTGCTTCCCATTTGCGTGGCAGTTGATGCCTTTCTTCTGTGACTCCGGAGTTTGGCAGCTCAAAT